AGCCGCACGGAGCCGAGAACACAGCGCTGGAACAAAGAGTGCCTCACGGAGAGCTCGGCCGCCGGCGTTACCCCAGCCCTGCCGCCGCCCGGGGCTTGGCGTGCGCAGCGCCCGCCGCTGAGTGCCCGGCACGGCGGCTGCCGAGGGGCCGGCCGGGCCGGAGCCTTTCCCGTGCCGGGAGCCGGGGCCGTGCCCGTCCCGATGAGCGCCCGCCCTGCCCGGTCCCGGCCCCGCCGCCACTCACCGGCCGCCGCCCGCGCCCCGCGCCGCTCCGCGCCCGCCGCCCCGGGCACCGGCCCCGCCCGCCGCCGCCCAGCGGGCACCGGGCACCGGGCACCGGCCCCACCTCCCGAGCACGGCGGAGCACAGACACCCCGGACAGCGGCTCAGCCCGATGGGCACCGCCGCCGGGACGCGCTGCCTCCGCCCGAAGCCTGCACAGGAAGAGCACCTTACACAAAACGGAGGCGTTTGACACTGAAGGAATTTTGGCTCTTTCTCGAGCCTTTGTGGCATGGGAAGTCCCTGCTACCTCCAAGGCTTCCTGCTGGTTTGTTGTCCGTGGAATCGTAGAGAGTCCAGCCTGAGAAACCTGTAACAATTCAGGCTGTGAAGGTACAACGATGGCGTGACCATAGAATCACAGAATACACCGAGTTGGAAGGAACCCATCAGCCTCACAGAGTCCAACTCCTGGCCCTGCAAGACACCCCAAGAATCACATCAAGTGCCTGAGAGCATTGTCCAAACACTCCTTGAGCCGAGACACTCTTGGTGCTGTAACCACTTTGCTGGAGAGCCTGTTCCAGGGCCCAACCACGCTCTGGATGAAAAACCTTCCCCTGGTATCCAACCTAAACCTTCCCTGACTCAGTTTCTTGAGATGGTAGTGAGAGTTTTTGAGGCTCAGCTCCTGAGACACAATATCTTAGGAAAACATTCAGCTTGACCTAAGTCAGCACTCAGCACATTACCTGGAGGGCTCAAGGCACAGTGCGAGACATCTCAGCAACATGATTCAGGTAACATCGTTCAGGCTGTGGGACAACTTTGAAGGTCTGAAAGATTTTCCCATTGAGGGCATTGTATAACTAGAACAGATGGAAATGCATCAGGCTGGAAAATCAATGGAGTGCTTCCTTAGCCTGTTGAAAACTGGATTCTACTGGATCACTATGTAGTGCCTTAGTTTTTATCAAATCAAGTTCAGTGACTAAACAAACCTCAGCTAAATAAACTCAGATGAGAATCCATCCACCTTGTTGCATTTCTGCAACTAAAATGTTGCAAGGTAACATCTGGGAAAATGCATAGTTTATTGATAACTCCCGTCTTCTAACCTTTGAATCTATTAATGTTGAGTTGGTTACCAATTCCCACTGAAACAGACTGATGTGCTCTGTTGCAGAACTGGCACTGCATCACATTGGCAGAGAAGTAACAGGTCCTCCTTCCTGGATGCAGTGACACAAGTGAAGACAGCTCATGTGCTCCAAAATGCAAAGTGAATGTCTCCAGTACAAGTAAAAATAGGTCCTTGTGAACAACGTGTACATGCCATGAATAGCATTTCCATATCCAACACGAATGGAGCAGAGATAACATTTCCTAATCCCTCTAACAGTGCTACTGGTTTGACCTGATCTGGGAATGCATCAGTTTTCCTTCACATCATCCAGTTACTTATGGTATATAAAAAACTTCTGGCTTATTAGACCTGGAAGGAAATCCAAGTTGTTATTTTCAGGAAGTCAGGGATTTCATTTACTCTTTCGGTGTCAATGTGTGCTTCCTAAGGATACTAAGACTCTTACATTGCAAGAATCACAGGTGGATTTATTTTTTCTTCTTTCCTCACCTCTTCCAGAAGTATCTGCAGTTTGTGCAGATTGGTTTTGACATCTGTTGTCTTTCAAAAAAAGGAACCAGTACTGAAAATTCACACCTGGATTTTCATCTGCAGTCTGGGCAGCAAAGATCTAATTTTCCAGAGGTTTTATTCATCACCAGTTCTCAGTAACTTAAAAGACTAAGATACCTCCTCTCTACTTTTGAAACCCTGGGTTCCTGCAGGTCAAATATAACCAGCAATAGTTCCAGGTGACCAGCTGTTCTGAGAATCACAAGTAATACAAATGAGGCATTAGCTCCTATGCAAATACGCAGCCTTAGTTTAAATTAAAATTGTCAATCAGGTAAGTCAGAGAAAGGAATTCCTGTGAAGGGCTTCCAAAGGAGCAGTGAGAGAACATGAGGCCCATACCCAGCTTGGCAACAACACTATCATGGGGAACCCAGGCAAAGCACACTTTGTTTATCATCATTAAATTTGCTCTAAAAGATGCATTAAATCTACCAGACAAGATACAAAGTGGAAATAGCACAGTAAGAAGAATGATGAGGTGCAGCAGAACTGATTTTGCTTCATCTCCAACAGATCTATGCTGCTTATTAAAAAATAAGTAGGAGTATTTCAAAACTGTTTGAACTATCCTGACCTGCAAGGATATAAAAGTTGTCTGAGTTCCAGTGTTTTCTTCAAGTAATAATAAGTGAGCATTATTCTAGAACACTATGCTGAAGGCTACTAACCCATCTCATAGATGTAAACAGAATAGTTTCACGGAGAAAGCCATTGCCTATAGATTGGAGAGGGAAACCGATGTGGGAGCATAGCTAATGCCAATGGTGTTTAACCAGAGCTGGGGCCAACTCTTCTCTGACTACAACCTCAGTTTTGTTTAAAGGAACTGCCAAGCAGGCTTTCTAGAGGGAAATGTATACCAAAAGGTTCATGAATTTAGGTATTTCTAAACAATGTATTATAATTTTATTCATACCCTTTCATCTCTAAATATCTGTTATCTTTTGCTTAAGATGCATTCTAAGGCATATGAATATTTTTTTTATAAAGAGCTGAAAAGTTGGGTCACTGTAACTTCCACTACCAGTGCTCACGTGACAAATAACTTGAGATTCTATCAATCTTGGCAATATTTCCTGGCCCTTCTTAATCTAAGAATGAACTGTTCTTGAACGGTTTCTCTTGGATACTAGGCATAAACAAAGGTTCTTTTCCCTATCTTAGTGTCTGGTTCAAGGTCAAATTCAGGGTTGGAGTTGTTTTGGAGTCTTGGGATTTTTTTCCTCGCTATTGAAAAAAAAATGTAAAAGATCCCTCCAAATTTATTTTTTTCTACATCTATTCCTCTATAATTTAATATCAGTACAATGAAGTGTAACAGTGTCCTGTCTACATGAGCAGAATTAACTAGGTAATACAGCTCCCAGTTTGAATAATTTCTCTAGTATGTGAAATGGATCAAAATGCAGAGCTACTTCATTAACAAGTACAAATCTCAGTTATCAGATCAACGAAACAAGGAGTTTTTCAAGTTACACAGCAGGTGGAAGCAAAAGGCAGTGCATACCATACAGGAGAGATCTAAGTCCAAGTGCTAATTAGTAAAACAAGGAGCTTCCCAAAGGATTCAGCAGGTGGGCCCAAACACCCTCTCTTGCAAGAGCCAATGTGTCTAAACATCTTAATACTCAAAGTCTTTGCATGTAGCCCAAAAGGCAAAATTTTACCCATATCCGCAGCGTCCCACAGAGTTAAAAATTTTCCTAACACTGAGAATTAGAAAGTAAATGAAATGCACTTCCTTCAGTTTTCTATAACTACATGTCCCAGTGCTAGGTTCGGTAAAAGCTGCCCTGAAGCAGTGATATGAACTGATATGACTGACAGATGGTCAAGCTATAACGTGAGATCAGGCTAACAGTTGGACTCAGTGATCTCAGAGGTCTTTTCTAACCTTAATGATTCTGTGATCAAAGCAGGTACACCGCATTTCTTCTCTAGGTGTACCCTGAGGTACTGACTTGTGTAGAGGGAATGGCAATGCTCTGGCAGGGCACTGCTTTGTGTTCTTATAGAAGGACACAATTTGCAGAGGCAACTACTTAGACCCAAAACATCACTTCTGCTTTCTCACACTTGATACCAAGGAGCAGATGTCACCAGTCATATTCTACCTGTATTTGGGGCTCCATTTGCTCCATCATATGAACACCATACCAAGTAGATACAGCCAAGTTAGTATTTCCTTCAGCTTAAGTTTTAATTCACCAAAACCTCCACTCAGAAGAAACACAAATACTCTGTGACTGGGCAATTTTCTTTATCATGTTCTATTAGTACATTGTGGTTGTTCATTCTGTAGTTTTGTGGGGCCTGGAGGTAATATCCAAATAAGAAAAACCCAGAAGTATGGTAATTTCTTCCCTTTCCTTCTATGTTAAGTTTGACAACATTTCTAGAGTATTCAGAAAAGTCACTGCCCTGCCAAGAAAGTGGATATGTGCACTAGCATGCCTGGAGCGAGTGTAGGGAATCACGGAATGGGTCAGATTGGGACCACAGCGGGTCACCCAGTCCAACCTCCCTGCATAGGCAGAGTCAGCCCCTCTGGATGGTTCTGGAATCTTTCCAGTGAGGGACACTCTGCAAAACCTCAGAACAAACAGTTCCATTGTGTAGTCACTGCACGGTAAAGATTTTCATGTTCAGGTGAAACTTCCTGTGCATCAGTTTCTGCCCATTGCCTCTTGTCTCAGTGTTTGGCACCACGAAGCTGAGGCTGGCTCCATCCTCCATCCAGCAGGGCCCGGCTGGTTCGCACAGCCCATCGCGGCAGGCCCGACACGGGTCTAACGCCACCCCGAGGTTATTTTTTCCGGAATTTCTATGGAACCGTGTGCCAGGGAGCCGCCGCAGCGGCCTGGCCCGACCCGACCTGCGGCCTCCTGGCTTGGGCCGTGGGGAGCCGTGGCCATGGCCGGGCCCGCACCACCACCTAGCGCCGGCGACGGGCGAAGAGAGCCCGGGCCCGCCCGGCCTGGGGGCGGCCCCGCGCCCGCGCCTCGGCCCCGCCGCGCCCACCGCCCCTCCCTTCCTGTTGCCGCCACCGCCCCTCGGTCCGCCTCGCCGGGCCGGGTGTGCTCCGTGCCGCCGCTGCGCGCTCCGAGCCCGCTGAGCCGCCGCACAGTCCAGCGCTATGGCCCGCGAAGAGGCGGCGGTGGCCGGCGAGGAGGCTGCGGCGGGCGAGGGCGGTGGGCTCCTGCTGGAGATCGTAGGCTCCCCGCTCAACCTGAGCCTGCTGGGCCTCTGCCTCTTCCTGCTCTACCAGATCCTGCGGGGCGAGAGGCCCGCGGCACCCGCGGGCGAGGCGGACCCGCCGCCGCTGCCCAAGATGAAGCGCCGCGACTTCACGCTGGAGCAGCTGCGGCCCTTCGACGGCGTGAGCGACCCGCGCATCCTCATGGCCGTCAACGGCAAAGTCTTCGACGTGACCCGCGCTAGGAAGTTCTACGGGCCCGGTGAGGGCGGGGGCGGGCGGGGGCTGCCAGACGGGCCCAGCCCGGGCACTCCGCGACTTGTGCCCGGGGCCACCGCCCGGGGGGAGCGCGGGACGCGTCAGGGCCGGTGCTGGCCGGGAGCGCCTTCCCTCGGCGGGGATCGGCGCTCCTGTCTGACCTCATCCCGGCCCTGGTCCCAGTGCGGAGGGTTGGACAGGGCTCGGCTCGCTTGCAGCCGGGAGGGCTGCGTGCCGGTGTGCCGGCGGGCAGGGTGACTGCTGCCGCCCGGGATCCAGAGTCGGGCTCCCGTGTTGCAGAAACTCCGGCTTTGCCGGTTTACGTTGTTTCATTATTCTCAGTATTTTCCCGTGGCAGGCTATGCGTACCATACGAGGTTGGGCGGCTTTGTCAGCCTGGGCTGCCTTTGCCTGATAGCAGGCAGCAGAAGCGAAGTGTTCTCTCAGTGTTGACATTCCATTCCCAGCTTTTAGTGGGTGTCACTCTATTCCATAATATTTTTACTAAATACTTAGCAATTTAGATTAAACCAGCTTTCCACCAGGAGCATAGTTCAAACGTACAAAGATTTAATAACGTATGCTCGAAGAGCAGCCAGTGATGAGGTGGGTGGGACTATGTGCACCAAGGTGAAAGAGTTTTATCATCTCCACGAGGGCATGGGGTTTTATTTTTATCAGAGGCTGCCTATTAAAACGGCTCACAGAGGCTTGCTGATTTGTTCCAGGATCTGCCTGGCATAACCACTCTTGAGCTGTCCAGACAGCCTGGTAGCTGCAGTGGAGAGTTGCCAGTGCTACTTAGAGACAGGGAGAAAAATGCAGAAGACACCACGGTTTTGGAAATGTTATCAGTTATTACTTCTGGGCCAAACATAGACGAGACTGTCTCTGAATGATGACAGGCTGTAACTTTGCATTCTGCAGCAGTCAGGATAATAAGTACCGTTGAGTCAGATGTGCAGCTTTGTATTTGTGCAAACTAAAACCCACTCGATGTAAGGTCCAAGCTTTAGATGCTCAGTGTTCCTTGATGACAAAAGCTGCCTGTTGCATCTGATTTGGTAATTGCTGAATGGCTCACCACAATGTCTGGCTAGTTTGATTTTCATTTTCATGGAAAAGTAAGATTCTTTTGGTTAATTTAGGAAAAAGCACACTCTGGAAGTTGTCATGTGCTCTACAATAACCAGATTTCACATCTTACTTCTTTAAGCTCCTTTTAGAAGAACATTGAATGTCTAGTTGAACCTGCAGTATCTCAATTTTTGGCTTGTCATGCAAGCAAATTAATCATTAATGAAGTTTAGCAAGAGTTTATGTTGATGTCTCTGATCTGCGAGTTGCATGTTTTGATCATTTGAGTTCATCTTGCATTTTGTTTTAATAGAAGTTTCCTCCAACTTGATAATATCTAGTAGCACTATATTTTCTGTCAAGCCATCCTTTCATCTCAAGTCAGGAGTATCTTTTAGAAAACTTTCATTTCACCCCAGACATAGAAATCCTTCCTCTGTTCCTTATTCTAAGGATGTGCATCCCAATCTGTATGCTTCTCCTTACCCTGTTTATATGTGCCATGCAACATTGCGTGGTTCATTGTCCTGATGTTTCAGCAAACCTCAGTATCTTTCTCCATTATTTTGTTTCTTGTCCTCTTCCGCTTTTTTCTCTTGTTACCAATTAGAATAAAACTTTACAGAAGCTTGAGGCACCTGATACATTAATGGCTCAGTGTAGGAACTCGTCATCTGTTTTAGTCTGGGGACTCTGATCCACGAAGACAAAGTAGCATCCATTACCTCTGCAATAATGTTGCTTATGTTTCTATTTTAAAGAGGGCCCGTATGGGATTTTTGCTGGAAGAGATGCATCCCGGGGTCTTGCCACTTTCTGCCTGGATAAGGAGGCACTGAGGGATAAGTATGATGACCTCTCTGATCTCAACGCTACACAGCAAGAGACCTTGAGGGACTGGGAGTCACAATTCACTTGTAAGCAATTTTAATCCTATTTACAAAGAAGTAGTTACCTGGTAATAGGGGAAGCAATAGTGAAAAGGCTTTAACCAGCTGGAAGCATCATATATATAAATGATGGAAATTGCATACGCTGATAACTACTATAGTGAAAATAATTATCTAGTGTTATATGATAATAAAATCTAGTGTTGAAAGATTTACTATAACCAGCTACAATGGAGCTTTCTCTGCATGAGGTCATAAGAAATCTCAGTCCTGACCTGATGTGTCCCTACTATTTTGGCCCTCTTCCTGTTTTAATTAAGACTGTTAATCATGCCACACTGAATGGCTGTTTTATTATGCTAACAAGCTTGTTGCAGAAACGAGAACTATGCTATCAAATATCTGGCTTGAACTAGTGTTAAAATGTACCTCTACAAGTGTTGAGCATCAGGACTGACAGTGATGTCCACTCTTTTTATTACTGTGTTCCTATGAAATATAGTGAATAGTTGCTTTAAGTTGTTATAACAGCATCACTAGTCTGAAATACCTGTAATCAGGGGCTTTTTTGCTTTGTTGAAGTTGACAGATAGGTGACATAGTATAGCTCTCAGTGCTTACATGTGTATGATCTTGGCATTTTTACATGCTCAAAAGGAGATATAAAATAAATCAGAAGCTTAATCACATAATCGGATAACAGATCCATCTTTGTCTTTGGGAGAAAGGATCTCCCTTCTGTCCTGTTGAACATTTTTATACACATTACAAAAAATAAAACCCCTTCCAAGTTGTGTGTATTTGTGCACATATGAATGTGTTTAATAGATGTTAATAGTCTGACAATACCTTTGGTTGAAAAACCAGATTTGACACTGGCAAAAGAAATAATCTAATCCAGGATTGTTTCTTTGGCTGTGTGGCTCAGTTTGTGTTTATTCATCTTTTGGTTTAGGTAATAAAATGAGAGTTATATTCAAATCACATGATTCTTATTACAGTAATAGTTCAGATAGTAGTTGATTTTAGCTTTTCTCCTTTCCCTCAGTGTTTGGAACAAGTTGTTCAGAGATGTTTTATTAAAATATAGCCATCCTGTTCATTCAGAAAACAGTTAGAGGAGTTTAAAAAGGTGTCTCTTCAGGGCCAAAAAATTACTTGGATTTTTTTTTTTCCCAGTTAAGTATCATCATGTTGGTAAGCTGCTGAAGGAGGGGGAGGAACCCACTGTGTACTCTGATGAAGACGAAAAGGATGGCAAGGATGCAAAGAAAGAGTAGATATTGCAGTGAGGAACAATCTCCTTTTGAACCATAAAGGATCATTTGTAACATTCCACTTCTGCTTCAAAAGGTGCAGCAGCAGCAAGGCTTACAATGGTTCAGAGGTACAGTGAATGGTTTCTTTTCAAAGATTTCCTTTTCAAATTCAGTGGGAAGGTTCTGAAGATCTATGATCTGTCTTCCTTTAAACCCACATAAAAAGAAGTATGCATGACAAATGTCTGTGCAAAAGTAAGCTGCAATTTTGGCAATAAAGGACTATTTTTCTGCTATCACCATTTAGTGCAAAGTAGATCAAAATCAAGTTTTTCATTACCAACCTAGCATTGTGGACACAAGCACTTGAATAACTTCATATATGCAACACAAACACCACTAAATCTTTTGTGTTAGCTTCTGCAGGACCTGGTCCCTGGCCTGTAATTCCTTTAGAAAAAAGGGACTATATTTTGTTTGTCCACAAAGCATCATACTTTGTTGTGTAGTATAATTCATTATTATATAAGATAATTTGGTTTTCAAGGCGCTGCATTAGCCACTTACAGATGAAACACTAACTGCTTTTAAAAAAGATCAAGAATTTTTGAGAGGTTAAATCACTTTTAAATATTTAATAAGGACCGATGAATGCTTGATGTATTCAACATGTATAATTCTGCAAAGACTAATATTCTCTGTTCACTTTTAAAGCACATCTATAGTGTTACAAAAGTTTAGATATTGAGTGGAACTAGGCGTCCCTAAAGGTACACCATGGAGTGTGACTTGACTATTGTTCATTCAATTTTCTTCTTAATAAAAAGCGCTCCTGTGAATGTTAATGGAATTATATTAAACATGGAAGATCAGCTGCTCTTGATTCCTAGGCCGAAAAAACCAGAAGCTGCTGGTATGGCATGATTAGTAAGTGCTCTTGTACATGCACCTTTACCTAGCAGAAAAACATTACTGGTCAATGTAACTTACGTAAGTTATGTGCAAAATAAAACAGTGTAAGCTGTTTCTGCATTGAGGCCTTTGTTGATTTGGAATGTTGCCATTAAACAAAATGGCACAATCTCATGCATAACCAGCAGTGCTACACCTGTGGACCTGACCTTTGAGTTGTTTTTCATCTATTTGCTCTCTTGGCTTTAACTGTATGCTTAATTACTACGTTTTTTCTAAGTGGCCTGCCTCCTTCCAGAGAGGGCTGGGTAAATGGATATGACCAAGGAAAAACATAATTGTTCACCTTCCAAAATACTTCCGTAAAACTTTCTTATAAATTCCAAGATAACTAATGATTTGCTGATCACTTGTGAACTTGTTTCTTGTCCAGGTGATTCTGCTAGTGCAGAATATTCAGGGTGCCTGTCTGGTGTAGTTCCCTCTATTTAATTTCTCTGGCTCAGCTGTGTGGTTATTTCAATTTGGCAACATGATCAAAATGATGAACTGAGTCCTCTGTGGGAAGGTGTAAACTAGGTAAAAGTGTTCGGGAGTGTTGCACTACAGCAGTTTTCATAAGTGCCTGACACCAACTGTGGTGAGAATAACCAACTCTCCCTCAGTCCCAACACTGTCCTGAGATTTTCTTCTGGTTGCACTGGGCATTCCGATGAAGAGCAATGTTGTTTGAGCCAGAGAGTTTGTGTAAAGTGGTACTCTATGGACTACCTAACGAAGGTCTAGAGCCACATGTAGACCTTGTCATGATCTTTGTGTTGCTATTTTATTTTTAGAGACATTTATACTCTTGGCAAACTACTACTAATGGTTTACCTCAAATTGGAAATGTACTTTTATTTGTTTAAGGCAGAAAATAAAATACTCTTGCATAATGGCGGTGTTTTCATTTACTGCAACCAAATGTTATATTTAATACTCCCCTAATGTTTCAAGTTTTATATTGTCTTTTTCCAATGTGTCACATTATCCAATACATAGATTCAGCAACATACATTCTAATGGAATGATTGTAAATGCAGTTCACTAGTAAAACTTTAACAGAATATTAAATAGAGAACATGCTCATTGCAAAAACAGTGTTAGGCAGAAAAAAAAACCAAGTAATTGTTAATACTGAGCAAGAGTTGGAGCTTTGGAAGGCTGTAACCTACCCTTCAGTGGACTCTTAAGTTACTCTGTATCATCTCCCGAGGAACTGAACACTATTTTAAGTATTAATCGGTACATCAGAACATTATGCATCACAAAGAAAAATAGTAACAAAAATTATGCAGAAAACAGGCAGTAACACAAGACAATGCTCATTGTTAATACTTCTTGGGGAGGAGGAATGACACTTCGGTAAGACTTACTTTTTCAGGGAAAACAGAGAATTTATTGTGAAAAGAGGAGAAGTGTGTCACAAAAGCTGCTCATAAAGCACCAGGCATGGGTTTTACTTCTTTCCAAAGTACAGAAGAAAATGGAGGGGTTTTAGCTTATTTTTTAGTCTATTCATTACAGCTTGAACCCTTCCTTCAACAGTGACTGGCACCAATGACTATGCAAAAAGAACAATGCCAGGCAGCTTATCAGTCTGTATATTAACCAGGTAGAACATGATGACCAATTAAATGCAGAGAATGTCACTAATCTCCCTCATCTGAGGTGTCCAACACCTGTCACAAAGGTCTACTCTAGGACAAAACAATTGAGTCATATCTTATTTCCAGCTAGGAAAACTCATACTTTTACCTGCTTTGTAAAATTCAGATATTTTTCACCTGCCCTTAATCACCTTTATTCGCTCTTACTTTCTGCTGTTTCAATTAAACAAAAAAAAGTTCAGTATTGAATGCTTCTGTTGAAAGTTAGGTAAGGGGTTTTATGAAAGGCATTTCTATGCATTTCCTGGAATCCCTAGTTTAAGACGGGGCTTTATATTATAATTGCTGTATTTTATTTCAAGCAGATCGACTGATTTAATAATGGGCCTTATGTATTTCTGCTTTAAAACCACCCTGTAGGATTTTGACTTCAGTATTCAGCACAAGGTACAACCCACAGGTCACATATTTTCAGTGACAAAACATTGTTCAGCCAACTTCTCTTCATACCAGCTCTAGGAGGAGGTATTTTCACCAGTTCTGTACAGAAAATTGAATTTGATGGCAAGATCTGCAGTCTCAGGTCCCAACTTCATACATGTCAGAGTAAACAGTGTTTCCATAAAAAGCATCCAGCCTCTTGAAACAGCAGCTGGGCACAATAGAACACATCGGGTTCAAACTGAAAGGTGTGAAATTATGCCAGAAATATTCTACATTTCCATTGCTGAACTATATAAGTACTGCTTTAATGTATCTTTTAATCTAATAAATGTTTTAATTGCCAAAACATTCAGTAACTTTCCTGTGGGAATGTGACATTTATAACAACTAACATCCGATTTACAAAGCCATGCATTTTAGAAGTTTTAAAGCAAGCTGTTACATGTCTCTTTAAAGATTAGCCTTCAGGATATTAAAATTTTATAAAGCAGTCCATTGTATGAAAAGGTGGGGCTCATATTAAATGTGCTGACAAGAAAAAGAAAATCTTCCCTGTGAGCATGGTGAGGCTGTGGCAGAGGTTGCCAGAAGAAACTGGACACCCCATCCTTGGAAGTGTTCAAGACCATGTTGGACACTGCTTGGTGCAGGTGGAAGGTGCCCATGCCCTTGTCATGGAGATTGGAACAAGATGATTTTTAAGGTCCTGATCCAAACCATTCTATGATTTTGTGAAAAGTCAAAAAACACCTGAAATCAGGTTCTAAGTAATATCAAATAGAAAACACAGAGGTTCTCTTTCAGTGTGAAGATTACAATGATGTCTCACATTTTAAAGTGCATGCATATTTTATTAGCTAACAGTGTTTTACATGGAATGAGGACTTGGGAGATAAAGCAAATCCTCTACCAATTTCAGTCAATACAGGTGAATGCATGAAGCAATTACAAAAATTTATTTGTTATTGGTTATTGTGACAGCATGTTGATAAAACACTGGAAATTTACACTGAAGGAAATCTTGAGTTCCTTCTCCCCCAGATTAACAAAAAGAAATACTTCCTCACCTGTCACCAAAAGGCCTGTCTCACGGGAAATGGGTACTCATGGACACAAAACTGTGACAGAGGTGGAAGTTTTGTTATCTTTAATCTGCAAATTTTGCATAGAGAAAAAACACCCTTGGTATGTCACATCAGTGCAACTGAAAACATTTTACACAGTCGAATACAACAGTTCCTCTTCATTATATCTGTATAAAATATTAAATGGGAGACTTAAGAAGGGCATAAATGTTCTCCAAAATAGTCAGAAAATATTTCTGTCAAGAAAATAACATCTTTTTAGATAAAAGTAAGATTAACAGTACTTTGAGTAGCAACCATTTGTCATTCATGACCCTGAAAAGGCACTCAACATCTCAACATATGAACAGAAAGACTGATAAAACCTGGCTTAGAAGCCTGTAGGAATCACCAGTATTGAAGACAGGGGTGGGAAAAAACCTATCTACCACGAACAACTACAATTACTCTTTTTTATCACTATTTATTAGAGCAGAAGTTACAAACATGGGTAAGATCTTATGTAATGAAGGCAACATTTTCACATTAACTTTGTCTACTGGCATGTAATAAGTAAAGCATAATAAAAGGAAAGCTGCAATAATCAGTGTCTTGAACTTCAAACTCTATCTTGCTAAGGGACTTTGTCCAAAATCAATTGTGGCTGTCTTCTAGATATAGCCAGATGAATAAATATAGATATAACTCGAGCTCCTAGACTCCGTTTTCACATTTTTATCTACATGAAGCACAACTCTGACAACATTTCACAATTCCTCTGGAAAGCATTTGTAAGCAAACACATACTAAACAGCTACCTCACTATATGTGCCTTCAAAATCTTGTGAACTGTCACCCTGCATTTACATGGGGACTGTCAGCAAGCTGACATGCACTGCCCTTTCATTATCTAACACTCAGAGCTTTGTTTAAACAACCATTCAGATTCCTGGAAGCACTACATTGGGCATAAGTTCAGTGAAATCCTTCCTCCCAAAGGCCAGCAAGTTTTCAGAAACACCTCTAGAATTGTCAATAGAAAACAAGGATTCTTCTAGTGTGGGTTTTACAGAAGATGGGACTTTTTTCACATTTGGAAATATATTACTTTTCAAAACTGAGTATAAATGTCCCCCTATACCTTCCAATCCCATCATTATAACAATCTGATAGAGGAGGCACTTCATATGCTTGCTCTAGGATTGACAATTAGTTTTTTTTCCAATTACTCATTATTAGTAAATACTGTGATTTACATGATTCCCTGCATTCAATCAAAGTATAACACTCCAAAATCTCAGTCTGTGTCAAGTTCTTTAGCCACTAGTCCATGAAACTTTCTTCTGGCTCTGGGAAAAGTTTTGGTCCTTTTATCCAAAAGGCAAACACAGATTCTGCTTTTGTGGCTCACTACACCAGTTAGATATCCTAACCAAAGGAATTACCTAAGCAAAAATAAAAAATCAAAAACCAACCCAGTAGTTCATATACCTTTTAATGATCAAAGGGCTTTCTTCTCCCACTTCATAAAAACTTCAGAGCTATCATACAGTAGCTGTTCAGCATCCTCTTCTGGGCTCTCCTCCACAGAAAGTATCTGAGAAGGGGTTTGTCTGAATTATCTCAAGAGGAAATAGAGGACATCCTCTGACATCTGCATCCATCTCTCTTCTCAACATTAATTTCCTCTCATCTCCTGTAGATAAGAAAAAGTTTCCTGAAATGAGTTTGTCAGGCAGACAGGGAGGGAAAAGGAGGTGGCTGTAAGGGTATCCACCAACCAACTGGAAACACAGTAAAATGTAAAAAAGGCTGTAAGGACAGCCAGTAGCAATCCTGTATGAACATCAGATGTATTTTAGCTTTGTAAAATTTACTCACCTGTCACTAGTGGACACGAAATAGGAATGTAGATTTAATCACAGCAGCCAGAGGTTTTTCGTCTCAAGAAGGCAGAAGCCTTTATTTCGGGTCTTTAAGCCCCTTTTATAAGGTGTTCTGATACAGGTTAACGTGATTGGTAAAGGGAACAACACCTCTCTGGTCCCATCGGTGGAACAAGAGAAAACACTCAGGACATCTGTACAACATTGTTTTGAGAACCAAAAAACCTATTTACAAAAACAGTCCTTGAGAGAAACATGTTGTCAGGAAACTTTCCTTTGGGAACAGATCAGCCACTGACAGGCTGAAAACTCTCTCGGGCTCAGAAAGTCATATCCACATTCACCTGAGACAGTACTTCCCACACAGCTGTGCCACACATTGAATTGTGCATCAATGTTTTTGTTGTCATGTTGTTACTATGCATGTTGTCAACAGAGTAACCACCCATCTCCAAATGCCCAGGACAGATACTGTGCTACCCAGTTAAGTCAACAAATACTACTCTTGAGCTGCATTGTGGTTCAGAGCTAAACTGAACAAACCCTTAGTTGCAGAGAACCTGTACTGGTTTTTTTCATGCCATGTTTTTACCTTTTAAAACCAAAAACCATTCATCACTGTAACAACTGTGACAACCTCACCTGCCACAGACCTGTCAAATTCAGTCCCCTTAGCTGTGCTGTCCCTCTCTCTCACCTCTCCTCTGGAAGGTCTCCTGAAGGGGCGAGCCATCATGAGGAGTACCATCTGGTGCTGCCATAGAGGTGTGATGTGTCTTGAATTTCACTTTCTTGTGTAACATTTTCTTACATTTTCTCTGTATCTTTCTGAGTGACTCCAGCTGCATGCAACTGTCCGTCTCTGAAAAGCCACATTCATCAGTTAAAAGATTAGAAGAAAGCTTTTTTCGCTTTTTCTTCATTTTATGAGCATTTTTCTCTTTTTCCCTGGATTGTCTCTCACTTTTCTTTCCTTCATATCTTAATTTACTACTAGACCTCTTGCACGACTTTTTAAGTTTACGTTCACACTGCCTTGCCAAGCCCTCATGGACAGAATTAGAACAGGAGTTACACTGGCTGATTTCCTTCTCTTGACCTTCCAGAGCTACATTTTTATGGTAAACCAGTAATTTTCTTTCCCCGTCTCTTGCAGACAAGCACCCTTTATTACAACTGCTGTAAATTTCTTCATACCTTCTTTCTGCTCTCTTCACTGAGCCGCCACATGCCTCTCTAAAGTACTCAGAATCACTGATCTCTTCCAACAAATCCTTTAATCTGCAAGCAGATCTACTTCCATATGGTACAGTGCCTTCATCTCTACCATCTTCTTGTTTGAATTCCTTATTGTGAGTAACAGTAGTGCACTCCAAAGAATGATTCAGTCCAACATGTGGTAAGTTATCAACAGTGAGTGAGTTATTCCTCTGCACTTGCAGCTTTTTTGCAAGCTTGCCCCCATGGACCTTGCTTTCTAACACTTTGTCTGTTGACTCACGTTCCCCAAGAGATATCACCAGCCTATAATTACTATCACTACTACAATTTCTCTTTTGGAGGTTTTGTACAGGACTCACTTCTCTGAAGTGCTGACCATGTTTGTTACTCAAGCTGATGTCAAACCCACTACCATCATCACACACCACTCGCTTCCACCGGGAATTGTTCGCAGTGGTTTTTGGCTCTAAGCAAACACGTGCGTAGTGTGGTGTCTGATAGTAATTTAGTAAATAATGGATGAATTCATCAGTCTCATAAACCTTTTGCTTTTTGCAATCATCTTCCTCAGACAATGTCTGTGTGTGAGCTACATCCAGTGCTGGGTGGTGCCTTCCATGGAGAGGTTTGATGACCCTGCCGTCCTGGGTAACCGTGATCAGCAAAGGCCCACAGCCTTTGGTGGAGGAGGTGCACACATCTCTGCCAGGCAGTCCATCAGAGCTCGGGGCTGGAGAGGGATCATTTAAAATTGTCCTGACTATGTGACAAGTAGGCGCATAGAAGTTACTCACATCTCCTTCCTCACAAAATAAACCACTACCTTTTTGGGTTAACGGGCACTTAAACTCCTTACGTGTCAGCTCTTTGTGCGTACGATAAAGGGAGTTAATCAGCTCCTGCTGTATGTCTTTAAATACTGTTTCAGAAAATGATTCGTCCTTTATACCCAGTGAAGGATCCACTTTTTGACTTGCCAACTGCGAAACCAAGAAAATAGAAATTTATTTAAGACACCACATTCATAATTAAGAAGGCTAATGTCAGATGTAATGGGGCCCTAAAATTCATGCAGAATGGCAAGGGTATCCTCTAACTTCAACTTATAGTAAATTACAGTCCTTTAAAAATCTTTTACATTAAGGATTGGGAAAAATACGCACTTGTTAAAAGCTGCAAGCAAATTTTTCTCTGCAAATAGTGGAGACAAAGCCATAATAGAAATTAAAACCCCTGTTTTCATTTGAAATCTTTTTTGCCCAAAGCACTAAATTGAACCTGCAAACATTAATCCGTGTGCAAAACAGTTAAATTTTTAGCACTTCTCTGCTGACTTTCTCAAGACATTATCTGAATCAAACTGAAATAAGCCTGGTAATGAGTGCTGGCCAAGAAAAAAAGAAGAGGCTATTAGAAATGCAGCTGATACAATCTGTGCCAATTTAATTCAGTCACTTGTAGACCTGAGACCAAAACAAGCATCATTTATGTCCCCACCCCAAAATTCCTTGCTTGCAACACTGGATCAAGTCTAATAGAGCTAATACAGCCTTTCCAGCCCTATTTTTTACTCAGTAAAGACAAGGTCTTGAAAAAGCACCAAAGGCAAAGTTTCTGGGTGAAAATGCACTACGTTTGTTCTCAGGGCAAGACTGAGAGCAGATTGTCATGAGACATGGGCCTCAGGCCTTCTCAGTGTTCAGTCAGCCCAAAGCAGTCTTCTGAATAGCATCAAGATATCAAATGTCAAGTGAATTATTCAAGCTCTAATAAATATCCTTAAAAATTTAAAATATGTTTTAAAATAGTCTTACTTTCACACGATTTAACAGCACTGTAAGCAGTCTGACAGACTCCACTCTTCTCTGAGCTAGCAGGGATTTCCTTTCTTCCCATTCAGGCATATTCTCTGGCCACTGCTGTTCTTCAGCCGGTACCTTCTGCTGCTTTGGGGGATGTTCCTCATCTCCATCTATCTGCCTCTCTTCTCTCCTCTCGCGCTTAGCTTTCCTTTTTCTCTCTTGAACTTCTTTTCATCACCACGTCTTTTTCTAGGTAATTATCAATATGGGACAATTTAGATGACACTTGTTTTACATTTTGCATCCTGGGGAATTGGATGTAAGTCTTTGAAGTGCTAATAATAAGCAAACAGTCATCAAGAATCACATGTGGCTAACAAGGAATTTCGTTTGCTTAAATAACATGTTTAAAAAAACATAAATTACACACACCCGACTGATCCCCACAGTTAGAAAGCTGTCTCTCCAAACAGTTTGTATTTTTGGGGTTTTTTTATAAGCACTGCCAAGACAACAGCATCACATAATTTTTTGTCCCCAAGGACACAACTGGAGACTAATCATTTGTATCTAATTCTTACATTAACAAATCTCCCCTACAGATTAGCATGAGGGTCTCATTTAAGAAGTATTACAAGAGTAATTCAGGGGTTATCACTGAGCAAGGCTTACCCAGAGGCAAGGCCTTTTCTGCTCCTCATGCAGCCCACCAGTGAGGAGGCTGGGGGTGAACAAGGAAATGGGAGGAGACACAGCCAGGACAGCTGATCCCAACTGACCCAAAGAATATCCCAGAACCTATGGCCTCATGCTCAGCAATAAGGCTAGAGGAGAAGGAGGAAGGAAGGACATTTGGAATGATGGTGTTTGTCTTCCCAAGTCACTGTTATATGGGTTGGAGCCTTGCTGTTCTGGGGATGCAAAACACCTGCTTGCCCTGGGGAAGTGGGGAATGAATTCCTAGTTTTGCTTTCCTTGTGTATGTGGCCTTTGCTTTACCTATGAAACTGTCTTGATCTCAATCCTCATGTTTTCTTACTTTTACCTTTGTGATTATCCTCTCATCCCACTGGAGAAAGGGGCAGGGAGGGAGGGAGCAGCTGTTGTAGGACTTAATAACCAGCTGAGGTTAAACCACAACAGACTATCACCACTTTTTGGAAGTAACTTTACCTAGTTACAAGTTTGCCCTGTAGGAAGTAGCTCTACCAAATAATCAACATGACGCATCACAAAAACCTCCAGAAAATTCAAGGAACAGTGTTCACACAAATGAGTATTTAAAAATAGTTTTTTAAGAACTATTTGAATAAGGAAGAATTAGCAACGGAAGCATAGCAATGCTTTTAGAGACCTAGCATTGGATTCACTGTGCTCTGCATCCTAAGTGTCTGTTTTTTCTCAAGAAGGTGCATAAACATGATTGATTACTAGTGACAGTTTAGGATGCCACCCAAACACATTATCTAAAGAATTTAAAACTTCAATACACTACTACTATTACTCATACGCAAATTTAAGAACACTGCACTAAAGATTTCAACAATAAAAAAAAAACGCACAAAAATAGGTAAAGACAGAAAAGTATTCATTTCATAGCTTTGGACTTTCCAGTCAATTGGGAGGCACTGAGAAATGTACATCACATTAATTTTATTTCAGGGCTTAAGGAAGGGCATTAATTTGTTGCAGCACAGAGCAATACAAAAAGCCCACATGCAGAACCTTAAGGAATCAATCCTCAGAAGAATTTGAGAGCAACAGCTCTCTGATTTCACTGTAGGCCCACATAATCAGAGAATAATCCAATCTGAAAGGCACCTTGGCATATCCCTGGTCCAACCTTTCTCATAATTCAGACCCCTGCATCTGATGCCTAACATGCAGAATTATCATTATGGTTTTCTTTCAAATATATAAATTAACAACTACATAGTATTGTTTCAATTTCTCCAACTCCTGTTTCCTCAAAGCCTGGATTTTTACACAGCCACTCTTCCTGTGTTTTACTTGGTATGAGGAAGTGTAACAAATCTCAAAAAAATCGGACATTCTCTAAAAATATACTCTCACCTTTCAACCCCCTCTCTTTTTTTCCCCCCCCTATTTTGAATGTGCTCCTGTTCTTGCAGCTTTAGTCTTTCCAGGCTTCTCTGTCTTATGGTTCCTTCACTAAAAATGTCTGGTTGTGTCAAAAGCCACGTGTGTCAGAAGAAGCAGAATCAGACTTAACAGCCCAGTTTGCTGTGTATTTATACAAACACAGACAACCTGCTGAGCAAATAAGAGACCCCAGCTGACTACCAAAATTTCACTACACTCGTGAGAATTCCTCTCTCTGCCCTGACATACCAGAACTTCTGAAGTTCATACTGGGTTGTCAATCAAACTCAAACACCCCTCTCCCTGGGGTCTCCTCCTGCTGTGACATCAGGGGCTCACAATCTGACATCATACCTTTGACCAAACCCATTCCTGGTAGGCTCTTCTGGGGACTCAAAGTTCAGCATGTGCAGCACAGCATTCCTAATTGCAGGAGTCATGCAGTTCTGCCCAAACTAGAGTTCATTGACTCTTAGAGCAACATCTTTTGGATCCAATGCTTGTTTGCTTGCTTAAAAATTGATGGATTCTGTTGATGTGTGCTGTATTTCATCAGCTATTTCATCAGCTTCAAAAGCCCAGATGTGAGCACATTAAAAGAAAACACTAGAGAAAATTGCATCAAAGTCTATCTACACTGAAAAAATAAGTAATAGGAAGTATTATTTCCAACACAGAGGGATATGTCAGGATATGTCAGCTGGGAGAAAAAAATGAAACAGGGTACACCCTAATAAGTGCTTATGGAGGTAAACTGCTGAAACAAAGCTTACAGGTTGCACATTTTCTCTTATAATGCAACGGTAGGCATAACTCTTCAGTGGATTAATCTCTCAACATACTTAAACAAAAAGGTACAAAGAAGAGAATAGGTACCATTTTCTAGCCAAGAATCACCAAGCAGCTGCTACACCAAGTTCATATTTAACAACAAGAAACTAAGTATCTTTCAGAGTCTCATCAGTTCCTGAGATCATCTCCCAGTTTCAGTGCCAACTACACTGAAAATATTGACTACATTTACCTCACCCAGAGAAATTTTTCAGGAAATCAAAATAGTATAATGCTGGTTTTTTATTAGAGTTAAGTTCAGACACCTGAACTCCATATATCAGTATACCTACATCTAGTACAAATAGGATATTTGCCCAGGGGGTTTTTGCCCCTCACATGCTCAATTTTCCAAAAAGTTTACAGAGAGGCTTCCATTGGTTATCAAGGACTTTTCAGGCCTAAATTCAAGAAAAAAGAAACAGAAGTTGGTAAGCCACCATCTGTGCCAGTTTGTTCCACAAAGTCGCAGCACCTAGTTACAAGTAAAGCTTGGTGTATTTTAATGCTGTCCATATGCTATATTTTTCTTTATTTTATAGACACCGTTTTAACATAAATACAGAATAAATCAAATAGATAAAAAGATACATATATAAAGAGAACTGCAAGAGTGCCACATAAAAGCTTCCACTGAAGAAACATGAAAAAAAAGTTTGTAAGATGGTTTTCATAGGTTATAAACTATACTGTAATGAAAAATGCCTGTTTGTTTTCAACATGGGAATGTCCAAGGGAAGACAAGCACAGAAACTGTTTGATAAAATAGGGTGACTATACTTTATAGAGAATGACAAAGAAAAAAACCTACATATATACTGGAGAAAAAGTTAGTGCAATTAACACTAACATAAAATAACCAGCAATCTTTGGAAGCAGCAGCTACAGCACAGACTGCAGCACTGAATAGCTCTTCTCAGGGAACTGCTGCCAAATGCACTCAGAATTAACTGCAACTTTGTCAGGCAAGGCTGAATCTCTCAGGATTAATCTCTGCACACAGCTGTGTATGTATACAGACACACACCTTCAGTGTCTCATATAAGCAAAAGAGATACACGAAGTACTTTCTACAAAACTGAAGCAGTGAGTAATCTCTAGAGTCCTTTCTGCTCACTGTGCATTAAGATAAAGACCTTCTTAAAGCTTTCCACCAAGTTAGTGCCAACTAAACTTCTACCACCCCACTAAGATTTGTGATGCAGCAGGTTAAAACATCCAGGACACTGTTGTTACAGTCTGTAGAGATATGAATGTCAAGCCTGCAGACCACCTGGTGTATACAACATTTTGCTCTGTTTTGCAAGTACATCTTCTATTAAACCAAATGGTATATTATCCTGCCTTTGTAAATCTTCTTTCACTTATATCCTTACACCATCACAGCTGCAACCATCTTCCTACTACTGCAATAAATCACCTAAAAGCCCTAAACACTCTTCATAGAGCTGAGTAAGCTAGAGTGGTTTGCTAGTGCACACCATTAGTCTTGCTCTTCCCCACTTGTGTTCATAGCCAAGAGTTCTTCAAGCATCAGAAATTTATTTCTCACTACATAACTGTGTACAAAGCACAGAATTAGTTACTGGCAGATCCACTGAATTGCTGCTGAGCAACATGGCCTTTTGGAATCAACCCTGACATATCAATAAGCCACTGCCTTAACTTTAACTGTTGCAACAGACAAATCACAAGGAATCTGAATTCAACCCCTTTATCAACTTATTATTTCCTTTTGGCCATCTGCCACAGTAAAAACATTTGGAACTCATCTGCCCTTGCACTAGGATTTACTACAATAACTGCAGGCTGAACACTCCTTATCTTACAACACCCTAAATTGTGTCACCCAAGTTCATACTTTAATACAAACTTACACTTTAGGGAAAAATTAACAACCTGGCAATATCTAACCTGAAACACTCACAGTTCATATGAGCAACATGCAAGTAGTGGGAATAATTGTTCCAAAGGCACCCCTCACATTTGCTCACTGTACTGCTAGCTCAAACAGCTCTTACCATCCCCAGTTTCCCAGCTGGTCACTCATGTCAAGCCCTGGGCCATCACAACAGTTACAGAGACCATACCATCAACCAGGTCAGGAAAGAGGGTTATCTTGAAGAGAAAAAAAAATCATATTTTGCTAGGTTACTTTCCAGACATTTGGTTTCCCTGCTGTCATGGACAGCATAGCTCCTGAGCAGTGCCACCAGCAGAGGTGAAGATAAGCTCAAGAAGAAATATTTTAATTCTGCAGAGGTGGGTATGCAGGAGCACTACAAGCAAATGCAATGTGATAACTGTATGTATTGATCCACACCAGAAGAGTTTATCATGCAGAGGAAAAAAAGCTGGAGTTGTTTAGTCTGGAGAAAATGAGGCTGGGGGGACCTTACGGCTCTCAACAATCACCAGGTGGGGGTTGGTCACCTCTCTCAAGTAATGTGTTAAGAAATGGCCTCAAATTACATCAAAAGATTAGACTGGATATTAGGAAAAACTTCTCCACTGAAATCGTGATCAGATATTGGAAGAGGCTGTAAACATCATCCCTGGAAGCCTTCAAATGGTTTGTGGATATGGCACTTGGAGACATCGTATAGCGGTAAACACAGTAAATGTTACTGGTTAGACTCTGTGATCTTAGAGGGCTTTTCCAACCCTAGTGATTCTATGACAAGCACTTACCAGAAAGTCATTTGGAGAAATTTAAAGAATAGTTTTAGACTGATTTTTAACAAATGAGTTTATCCAACCTGCTCTATGCAAAATTAACTGAAAAAGAGCAAGGGTCAGAAGTGCTGCTGCTCTCACGAATATTGCAATAAAGGACCGTTTTAAAGCGAGCACTCCCAGCACCGCTGTGCTCAATGCTGTCTGAGGTGAGGATAAAACAAACCGCCAGCCCCAGCCCAATGGACGGAGCCACTGAAGGCCGCGGTCCCCGAGATCCGGCAGCGCCGCAAGCGGGTGCCGAGGGCAGCCCGGAGGGCAAGGCCCAGCCCTCGGCGGCTTCAGCGGGGGCCGCGGAACCGCAACCCGAGGGGCCCCGCTCCCCCGCCCCGGCTGCGAGCCTCGGGCAGGTGTGGACCCAGCTCGGGCCGCCCGAGCGCCGCAGCAGCCGGGCAGGGCAGCCCCCGCGCCCAGGCCCGCCGCGCCCTCCACACGGGCCGGGCTCCGCCGGCCCGGCCCGCCGCCGCAGGGGCCGGAGCACAGGGAGGGTCGGCCGCCCCGTCCCGGCAGGCCTGCGGGCTCCGGGCAGCCCCAGCGGAGCCGCCGGGAACCGCCCCAGCAGCCGCGGCAACTTTCCCTGGCGGAGCGAGCACCGCGGCGCGGCCCGGCTCGGCCCAGCTCACCCCACCCTAGCCCGGCCCGGAGCGCCCTCCGCCGGCAGCACCCCGCGCCCTCTCCCCAGGGCCGGCCGCTCTTACCTCCGGCCGCCGCGCTACCGCCTGCCCTTCGGCCGCCACCCCGGGGCGGAGCGCGGCAGCGCCCATGGACCCATGGACCCGCCCCCGGGGCGCGGCTCCTCCGCTCAGCCCGCCTCCCCTTCTCCGGCCGCCGGCCCGCACCGCCGTCCGCTCCGGGGGGATTTGACCGGGGTTCCTGAGGAACAATTCACCAAGCGAGGAGGTGCCACTGGCTGCTCATCCTGCCCGGCCCTTCGCCCATGTCCTGCACGGTTTGCCTCGGCTGTAGCCGCCTGCTGCCGGCATCTTCGACCTGTGGGCATCGTGTGTGCCCATTGTATTCAAAATAAGCCAAAGAGAAAAAGTTACTCCTCGGCAGCTGCCTCGCTCAGGCAGAGCAAAGGCTTGGTTGTGATGCAATACCGCGTTTTACTTTGTCCTGTAGCAAAGGTAGTTCAGCCACCACTGCTCATGAGTGAGAGGTGTGTGAGGGTTTATGACAGCCTTTCCCTAGTTCATTACTGGCTTGTAGGTGTTTTCCCGATGGGAAAGCGCTGTCTGTGTCTGCACGGTACAGCTGCCGGCTCCCCATGGTGCAGCGCTCGCCCATGTGCTGCCGATGGCACCGTCCCCACTTCCCTGGTTGCTCTGAATTTAGCATCCCCGGGGGGATTCAAGGTCGCGTAGTCACTTTTTCAAATACTCCCTCAGATTTCAGTTTGGGCTTTTTTGTCTCTTGCGGTATTCTAAATGCAATTGTACAACTTTATATATATATATATATTTGCACCTTTTATGTACTTCGTTAAAAACAGACATCTTACCTCTTCTCCTGAATACAGTTGTGACTAGGATGGGTGATGATTGTGGGGTACACACAGGGCTAGGGGCTGCAGGCAGAGGGAGTGTGCCAACCATTTCTACTCTGCAATGGTCTAGTTGCTATATACGCAATTACAACCCCAGACCAATGGTTACACATATATTTACTGTGGGAGCCTATTTCTGTTACAATTTTGTGTGCCTAAAAGCATGTCTGTGCTTTCTCACTATACAAGCTAATAAGACACTGTGATGACCTACAAATGTTTTTCTGGTCTCGTTGCCTTCTCCACAGATGTTACTTCTTGTGTTAGGAAGGCTTCCAAGGAGTTATTATATGCTGACATTTGTTTGAGGGTTTTTATCTTAAAAGATAAAATTGTGTTTTGATTATACAAATTTCCAATATATTCTGAGTTATGTGATTTTTTTCCCTTATACATAATTTTTCCAAACCCAAACAGGCATTTGAGATCAGTTTGCACCAGCAGGGTCATTCTATTCCCCTAATACTTTTCCAAACCTGCAACAAGTTGAGAAACTTTAATGTTTTAGCTCTTGAATAAAAAGTTTAATGTTGTCATACAAAGTTACATCTTTCAAGATCTGCGAGTGTGCCCCCTGGATGCAGAAAACTAGTTCCTTGCCTGAAATTAAAAAAATTATGTGTCAATACAATCTATTTTATATTCTGCATTTCAGGGAGCAAGCCACTGTAAACCATGGCTCTTTGCCATTGTGGAATAGCCTGCCTGCTGGGATCGAGCACAGAGCAGGAGCAGCATGGAAGCTTCCTACAGGAAAGGAGTTAGGGAATACACATCACAACCAAATGAGTTTGCTTTGAAGCCTGACAACCAGGGCACACAGACAAACTTCTCTGGAAGCGTCAGGATTAGGCTGGGAGGAAGATGGTTGGAAGAAACTGTGAACAAAAAACTTGTTTAAATACATAAAAGGAATACTTTTGGCTATGTTTCTTCGTGGTAATGGCTTCTGGCTTGGTAATGTTATTCCAGGAACTACATCTGGATGTTACATACTGCTTAACTTATTTAAAAGCTAAAATAACTTTCCTGATTGAGAATATAGGTATAGATGGTATAGGTATAGATGGGTACAGGAAACCCCAAACCTCAGAGTTGTATTTAATTTTGAAATAGAAAACTGAAACCTCTTCCTAGGGACAGTAAGAAAACTCACATAGTTTTGTTTCATAAATAACAGTGATACAACCTTGCTTATTGTAGTTTGCTGTCATTGCAGGTTTGACTCAGGAAACTAAGTCATGCTGTAATGTTCAGCAGTCAGTGCTGAAATACCCTTTGCTTAGGTACTAATGTGATCAGTTACTGAGTGAGAGGCAGCCCACCTACACAACCGCTTTCTAGCAAGGAACAAGTGAATAATGGGTTGAATGCTGCCATCCCCTAGCTGGCTGTACAGAAAAAGCTTGTTAAACTTGCATGTCTTTAAGGTAATACTATAAAGTATCTGGTGGTGTTTTCTTCTTTCAATATGTCTAACTTCCCTGTCCAGACTTTCTAATCATTCTGTATGGTGATAGGTTTGATCTACAAGAAGGTTACTTCAGAAATACTTTGTATGTAAGTGGGTGGTTTTGCTTAGGCGGAAAGAAGGGAGGAGAAGGAAGGGAGGAAGGGAGGATGGAAGGAAAGAAACTGCCTTAAAGATCATCTAGTTCCAGCCCTCCTGCCATGGGCATGGACACTTTCCACTATATCAGGTTGCTTGAAGCTCTATCCAACCTTGAACATATCCAATTTTTTAATGTATGACTTTAATGTATGGTTTTATTTTGGCAGGTCCCTTTAAAAAGGAGAAAAAATAAACAGATACTCACACCAACCACCTTCTTCTCCAGAGATTGCTGCGGGAGGCTGAGGTCATCTGAACAAGTATGTAAAAAGCCAGAACAAGTATGTAAAAACTTGCCCCAAAATGAGTAATGGAAATGGGAAAGACTGTATGGAAAATACCAGAGCTCAGTAAGAATCTTAAGTTGAGGTTTGTCTTCTGCAGATGAGCAACAGAAAAAAACCCCAAAACCCTGGAAGAAATATCACCCTTTTCTTTGAAGTTTTGAAATAAGGCTTGAAATCTTGTTTCCAAGCACTATTAATGTATAGCAAGTTATACCCATTTGTTGTTGTTTTTCTCCTCCTTGATGGTTAAATGCTTTTTTCTTGCCAAGAAAATACACCATAAGTAGCTGAGTTCCTGGAGAGAGATGCAATTCTAGAGAGAAGTCTTTTAGCTCTTTTATTGAACTGGGAATAGTCCATTGGATCAGCAGCAGAGCATTCTTGCCAAAGGCAGACTAAGAGTCGTCTGACACTGTTCTGTTGGATGCGGTGTAAGATACTGAATATAGCGTTCAGTTTGAGTGGAGTTTTTTGGTTGGTTGTTTTTTTACTTTGGGTTTGTTTGGGGGTTTTTTTTGGGTGGGGGGGATTGCTGGTTTTTTGTTTGGGGCTTTTTTATTACAAGAAACAGAACATCCTGTTCTGGAGCAAGTCTCTGCTACTGCCTCCGTACTGGCTGCTACCTCCTCACTCCACAGATTCTGGTCTCAACTTGTATCTCCTTTCCACTTTCGCCTCTCCCCTCCCTGTGCCTTTTTTTTCTTTTCTCTGGCAGCAGGTCAAGAAAACCTGAACTAATCAACCTCGTAAATCATATTACTGATGTTCACTCGGTCACTCAGTTCCAGCATCAACACAGAGTGCCTCGGGAGCAGAACGCGGTGTTTTTCTGTACTCGTGCTGTTGCTGCATTCGCTGCCTGTGGAAATAGTTTAATTGTAAGGAGAAAGGGGTGTGTCCTGGGTGCAGCTGGGTCACTGTTGCGAAGGCGCTTTTTTTCCGGCTACAGAAATAGAAATACTGTACTAATCCATGAATTCAGGTGCAAACAGGAGTAGGGGGCACAGCCGGTGCTCACCGGCGGGCAGAGCCGCTCCGCTCCGGGCCGCTCCGCTCCGGGTTTTCCTTCCGCCTCCACAGCGCGCGCCTGGGGCGCGCGGAGCCCCGCGCCACAGCGCCCCCCGGCGGCCGAGGCGGGCGGCGCCGCCCCTGTGTGGCCGCGCCCCGCCGCGCCGGGCCGGGCCGGGCCGGGCCGGGCCGCTCCGTGCGCTCCGCTCCGCTCCGGCGGAGCCGGCGGGGCCATGGCCACCCTGCGCCGGGACGGCCGGGTCACCGCCCTGCAGCGCCTGGGCTGCGCCGGGCTGGCGGGCGCGCTCAGCCTCAGTCTGACGGCGCCCCTGGAGCTGCTGACGGTGCTGGCGCAGGTGGGCACCTGGCACTGCCGGCGGGGGCTGCGCGGCGCCGGGCGCAGCCTGTGCCGCACCGAGGGCGTGCGGGCCCTCTGGAAGGGGAACCTCACGGCCTGCCTGCGCCTCTGCCCCTACAGCGCCCTGCAGCTCGCCGCCTCCCGCCGGTAAGCGACCGGCCCGCGCGGGGCTCCGGGGGGCTCCGGGGGCTCCGGGGACCTGCACTCCCGGCGGCCTTCTTTACAGCGGAGGGGAGCGGATGGAGAGTGCCGAGTTTAGTCAGATGTCTCTGCCGGGTGGTCAGCTGGGTGTGAGCCCCTTCTCCCCAAGGACGCGGACCATTGCTTAAAATTTTATTTACCTAATTTATCCCGCGCTTAGCGATTGTGAGGTGATATGCCAGCATTGCATGTAAAATCATAGGTATTCTTCACATTAATAGGGTCGATAGTCTGTTAAAATTCTTTTGCTTGGGTTCATTTAGAAATGAAGTTATAGTGCAACCTGCGGGTGTGACTGTCACATCTGTTCTTTGCAACCAGTTTGTTTAATTAATTTATACACTCTCATGTATTTATGTTGCCTGTATCAAAGAAAATAACAAAATCATAAGTCAGATATTTTACCCTATCCTGCAGGATCTGTTACGCAAATTTGACCGGTTTTGACATTGATATATAACGTTATTTGTTTTAAGACCTTGTTTTTGATAATACACAGATATTAAACTAAGGTAAGTGCTGGAAGGACTGCAGCAGGATGAACATGGAGCAGTGCTGATGGAGCTCTGCCAACCGTGCTATTTCCTAGGATTCCCTTCTGCTGCCAGTATCTCTCAGCCTTTGCAGGGAGTGCCTGACTGTTTGCACACACTAGAATGTTTTGCTGCTCTGGGGGCTGGGCTTCAGGGTTTTTTTTTGTTGCAGTCAGCTGTTCATGGAAACACATGACATTTCCTCCCAGCTGG